CTGGAGGCTACGTGGGTCTCATTTGTTATTTACTCTGTCTCCAGCATCTAAAACAGGGCCTAGTTTATAGTAAATACTCAGTATTTATGAAACTAATGAGATATAAACCAGTATGTTTTCTCATGCATTACTAAAGAATTTACCCTTAACATAAGTTCATCTTATTTTCCAGATGTATTTGGTCACTGTAAATGATGCTGCTATAAATATCTTATTGCAGATAAATAATTTCTCCACTTTTCAATTATTTGCTTGAGTCAGATTTGCACGGTAAAATTATCAAATTGCTTCCATACAGATTCTTATCAACTGATGCTGTTCAGGATCCGTGGTGGCACACTGTGCTCTTACTGCTTTGGGTTTTCATCTGTTTGTTGTTTGTTTTTATGGTGCTGATCTTAGAGCCATGAATACAAGACAAGTGCCCTATCATTGAGCTACACCGGCAGCTGCCCCTGTCAATCATGGAGCTACCCCTGCAGCTTTAGCATAGGTTTCATTTCATCTCTGTTTTCCCAGTTCAGTAGGGGTATATGTGCATATGTGTGATAATTTTATTTGCATTTCTCTGACTTTTAAATAGAATTGTCCATATATTCTTTATCTTCTAGAATGAAAGCCTAATCTAAAAAAAAATCTTGATTTTTTTTTAGGAGAATCTTGGGGTGATGTTTATCCATACCTTTCGGGGATGACAGTATTAACTAATTATATTTGTTATAGGTATTCCAACATTCTAATTAAAATGTAAATGCATGTTGTTTTCTGCAGCTGTGGACTACTGCGCCTCAGAAAATCATGGATGTGAACATGAGTGTGTAAATGCTGAAAGTTCCTACCTGTGCCGGTGCCATGAGGGATTTGCTCTTAACCCAGATAAGAAAACATGCACAAGTAAGTTACAGACACACACACACACACACACACACACACACACACACACACACACACTGGCACAATTGCTGTGGGCATAGAACTCTCCCAAGTATAGATTATCACATATTAAGTCATGGGACTCTGCCCTTATTCCTCCTGTTAGGCCTTTCTAGGTTGTCCGAAGATGTGGCTCCCTTGTCTCAAGGTCCCCAGACAATATTTCCGAAGGCATCTTTTGCTGGAGACTCCGTGCAGGCGTGCTCTTCCAGCATATGCTGAGCATGCTAACACTCCAGCGTCCCACACGCTGCCTCAGCCGTGTCTGTCATCGTAACAGGGCTGGAGAATATTTGCACCAAAGCTTGTGGCTTGTGGGCTCCAGTTTGGACTCCGCATGAGGACCGGAGGATTGCTGAGTCAAGAGGAACTGGATGTGGTTTCTTGAGGGTGGGAGGTGGGGGTGGGGGGTAGGTGAACTGCTCAAGTTCTCTTTAGTCTCTTTAATTCAGTTTGATTTTAACTATATGCATAAATATTGAAATTAATTTAAACTCCTAAAATTAGAACAGAAAAATCTATAAACTAAAGGTGATCACCAGTTTTATAAAAGATGCCAGAAATATTCTCTTAAATATGAAGGTGCAAGGGGACATTGAGGCTTTTGTGGGTAGACCGTTATCCTTTGATACAGTGGAAAGGTCACTTGAGAGATGCTTGTTTCTCAAGTATTAGGGCCCAGTGATATTTTAATGAGATTCAGTAACAACTAAGAATAAAATAAGGCGTCTCTGCAATGCATATGGATGAGAAAATAGGGTTTTAATTTATAAAAAGTTTGTGTACCTTCCACCTTTCAAAAGTACATTCAGTATGTACTCCTGTGCACGTTTTCAAAAGCATCCCTCCTATTGCCTTTTCTTCAATCCCTTAATATCAACAGCTTAAACCTAGAGGCTGGGTGCGTTACATCAAAAACATATGTTACTACAGGCCCACCATGACCCAGCAAAAAACAAAGGAGGCAAAACCCTTCTTGGATACGGAAAGGCCTTGGCTGGATTGTAAAGTGACGGTCATTCACCGCATAAAGCGGGGGAGATGGGGATACCAAAATAAGGGAAACAGAGCTACCGTAGGACCAAAGGGTGTTTAGACCTTCCTGCCCAGGACATAGCTAATGTACAGTTGTTTATTTGCTTATGGAGGGAATTTGTGGTTGAGTAGTCTGCTCTGCTCCCAGGCTCCCCTCCTTTCTGTACAAAACTTGAGCAGTTCTCAGCAAGATGCTGTCTACCCCACAGCCCAGAAACCACATTCTGAACTATGAAACAACAGTCAGACTGTCACTGTGGTGGGAGTTGTGGCTGCTGGGCCGATGAGTCAACATCCCCATCAAAGTGATGAGTCAGCATCCCCATCAAAAAATGACGAGTCAGCATCCCCATCAAAGTGATGAGTCAGCATCCCCATCAAAATGATGAGTCAGCATCCCCATCAAAATTCTGAGTCAGCATCCCCATCAAAAAACAATGAGTCAGCATCCCCATCAAAGGGGGCCCCTGTGCTCCTGGCTCAGTCCATCTCTCTGCCTTTTCTTGGGGTGACCTTGGGCAAACCTCATGCTGAAATTTCCTCAGCTCCAACAGGACATGGTAATACCCAATGATACTTCACACTACTGTCTTGAAGACTGAATGAGATCATTTACAGAAATGATTGATCAAATTGCCAGGTGCTAATTAAGCTTTTTTTTTTTTTTTTTTTTATGAAGGTTCATAATTAAGCTTTTATGAAAGATGACACTGGGATCTGGGGAGGTGGCTCAGTTGGTCAGGTGACTGCTGTGTCAGCAATGAAGTTTAAATCTCTAGCACCCCTGTACAAAAGGCTCACACTGAGGAGGTGGAAACAGGAGGCCCCCTGAGGCTCAGTGGCCACCCAGTCTAGATGAACGAGTGAACTCCATGTTCAGAGAAAGACCCTGACTCAAAGGAAGCAGATAGAGAACAATTGAAGAAGATCCACAATGTTGACCTCTGACCTCCACACATGTGTACATGCACATTCATATACACCTGTACACATGTCCACACATGAACACATACACACTAACACAAAGATAATACTAGCTTCAAAGAATTTCAGTATTAATGAGCATGTACCATATGTCTTGACTAAGCATAAAAGTACATACAAACTCAAGACTTCTGTTGAAAGCTGGTGGGAACCCAAGTCTGGCCACACAGAGCAGCTCAGTCACACCAGGATGCATATAACCCAGGGCATCCATGGTGTAAGGCAGACAAGCTGGACAAGGCAGGTGAAAGTACTGCCCCATGGTCAGAGGAATGGGGAAAACCCATCAGTCTACTCAGAACTTCCTTCCTGGAGGAGTCCTGACTCCCACCCTATTCTCCACAGCGGCACCGTCTCCCCACACTGCCTCAGCATGGCCCCTATTACTAGATCCTATTCCACACCCCAGAATGGTGCAGACAAGGAGGTCGCGCTTTGCCGTCAGATCCTACGGTTGGGGCCTGGGAGAGGCTGGCCGGGAGTCAGGGCAGGGCTCTTCCAGCTGGGAGGTCTCACCAGCTAGGCTGGGAGCCAGCAGCTCAGCTATCTTCAGGCCGTGTTAGAGACAAGACCACGAAGCTGGCCAGCCCAGTGCGTGGGCAGAGAAGAATGCTGGGAAAGCTCTGTGGTCCAGGCCAGCAGCACTAGGGTGAACTGCCCCCTAGAAAGGCCACCTTCCCACCATGCTGGGGAGTGGACAGGAGCCAGATGGACAAGCCTGGCAAAGAAAGAGATGCTCCACGTACTTAGACAATGGTGAGGGAGTAAAGAGGAAGCCCACTC